CAATCATCAATAAACGTCGACAAGCTCAATCTTGAGAGGCCATTAAAGACTTAACGGACGTTATCTACTTGAAGGAAGATCGGTGAAACCAAGATCTTACTACGCTCGTAATATCCCTTTTCCACGCCGGCTTACATAGATACAGTGCAAAGTCCATAATCCGAATTAATTAATGCAAGGATGTGTTCGGATTATCGAGACTTTCGGCATTTCCCGGATTCTAAGTAATCAACGTATGCATAAGAAATGTTCATTAAAGGGTAATAATTCGTGAGAAAACAAATTCGTGCAATGTCGAAGGAATTGTTTACTAGTCTCTCCTCGCTATTGTTCAATTTCGTCATAGAATTGTTTCATTAAACAGAACGATTCTGCAATTCGGACGAGTTCCTCTCGTTATCATATTTTCATCGTAATGCGATGTCCGTGAAAAATTGATCGAACTTTACGTTACATCCGTGCTTCTGTCAGATACAAGTTTCCGGCGATAAATATACCTAAATCCAGCATCGGATATTTTCCAGGCGACTCCCTTCGACTCTTGTCTTATTTAGTCGGATCCACTCGAAAGGAAACGCTTTTAGCGGGGCCGATCCGTCGAATGGCCTACTGTTTTATGTAAGTAACTGGAACGGGAAAGGAGACAAAATCTCACACACATACACACACATATACACAGACGATCCGACGACCGGCGCGTGCCACGGCACGTTAATCGTACTTTGGCGAAAAGCTCGAGGGACATGGGACTCGCGGACAGCGGCCTGTATCCGGCGCAAGTTGAAATATACCACCGAGGATGTCTCCGGACGTACATAAGCTGGAGATTTCCTTTGCGGGAAGCGCGCGAGGTCGATCGACAAATAACACGCCACGGTCGTATCGTACAAACATATACGGGAACGGATACGTTCGATCGTATATGCTCGAAGCTAGGTTTAGTTAGGACTCTCTGTGTCTCTGAAAACATCGTCCGAAGGAGCTCCAAAAGGAGCGATCAATATCCATTGTCATTATATACCCCGGCGACGTTATTGAACGTGGACAAATATCGAGGAATTTTCAATACGCAGAGAGGGGGAGCGGGGGAGGTAGGGGAAGGAATATTTAATAAAACGACGTGTGATGTGAGGAAGAAAGGGAAGTGAGGTGTTAAAATATTTTTCATGTCGTCGGGCCATGTATCGGTTTATTGATGAGGCTTAAGCGGATTTCCCGAAACGACGTGTCACCCCGAATACCGAACATGGGATCCGGAAGATATTGACGATGGAATTCTTCATCACCGAACTTTACTCTCGCTTATATTGCATTTCGCATCGTATAAAAGATTTTCCCGTTCCTCAAAAAATATGAAAGAATGAAATCCGGAATCGCGGGTTCTCCGATTCTCTGGGAACGGGGCGATCTTGTTCTCGCGATAGGAAACTTTTGCCTCTTGATGTCACCGAAATTGAGTGCTAAGTTTGACAAGTTTCGTTCCGCGATTTCTTCTTATATATAGCGTCACATATAGTTCGATTCTTGCGCGCATTGTGTGGAAATGTAAGCGATCGACGCGACTTCAGAGATAAGTAAAATTTAAGTCTTTTTGCCAAACGTATTTTCTCTTTCGATATTTCCTCCTTTTCGAAGATGCTCTTCAATGAAAACGTTATACGTAGCTCTCTTTAGCGGAAAGTCTCAAACTTTCACTTTCTCGAGAAATGTGATAAAAATAATGAGATATAATCACGGATATCTATTTGTTCACAGAAGGAATATTCAATATCTCTTTCTACATATATCACGAGCATTCCATGTTAATAGCATTTTATTATTAGCGCAAGATAAAGTGCATCTAATAACCGTACAATGTATCTATTTTTATATCAAAGATGTGACGATACTTGAAAAAGGGTTAATTTAAATAGGGATATTGTGTGTGCTATTACGTCAATTTTCTTGATTGATTATTCTATACTTTACGTTTTACGTAATGACCTTTATTTGCTATTTTTATATTCCATACACTTTATCTTGTCTATATATTTTACCTTATTATTATAATCTTACAAGTATATGTATATGTATGCAAAGTCTGTAAAAAATTAATCATAACTAAATTAATAAAATACACGTGTATTTTACATTCATCTTTAATCATAGCAATTGAATGTCTTTTCTTTAAAAGAGATAATATTATTTCTATAATCAATAACTAAGACAAAGCTAACTTTGCGTAAACAATTAATAATACAACTGCGCGTTGTACATAGCACTTTCTTTCTTTATTTATATACTTCATATAATTTATTCGCTTTAGAGCATAGACAGCCCCCTTTATTTTCAGCTTAAAAAGCAGGAAGAGGAAGCTCATCTCTCCAAGTACACTTTCGATCGATATATAAAACTCTTCATTTTAATCACTTTAAGGTCGGGAAAATGTCATGTCAAGGGGAAAGACCTTTCACTTTTATCTTATATCCATGGTATATATATATACTATACCTCATCCCGTCGATCGTGTCCGCGGTACAGTTTGCCGTTTAACCTTTAATCGAATAACGTAGAAATTAAACGCTCCTTAACACTCCACTGGTTAGGAAAATAAGTCGCAATAACAAGGTTGACTCTCTCGTTTTGCCTGCAGGGCAAATGAGGGCTTCTTACTTGAGGCTGCGCGAAAACTCGATAAACAAGATCTATTTCTTCTATTTAGTTTTGGTATACGATACCTTGATTATTGCATAAAACGGAATGTGATTACAAGTAAGAAAATGCATAATAGAGAATAAAAATAACCCAAGCAGAGCAGAAAGACTTTAATACAATTCTATGTAGAATAAATTAGCGATAAATAGAAGAAATTATTTAGACTTCAAAAAATATCTCCGATATTTTGCTCTAAAATACATCATCCGATAAAATTGTAAATTGGATGTAAACAGTAAACAAACTTAGTTATATATATTGTACATTCAAGATAATGCATCTTTTTGAAAAATAAAAAATTGGTATAAAATTGATGTTATGGTAATTGTGATATTATATTGCAATACATTTCTTTTGTATAATTCCCAAAGTAAATTTATGTGAAGATGTATCTCTCTTTATCCATGTATAAATATTAATGCAGCAAATATCTTTACTAACTCTTCGTAAAAAACCGATTATAGCCAAAGAAGAGGTTTAAAATATCTGACGATTTATATTGAAATAATTTCTACTAATATTCCAATATGTTGCACTCTAGAAATCTGTGAGTTTTTTTGCTTAATAATAAATAGCGAATTAATAAGCTACTCAATTCTATTGAACTCTCTAATGAAATAAATCTTTATAATTTAACAGATAATTATTTATGAAAAACAAATTTTAAATTTTATATCGAATCAATCCGCAATATCGTTATCAGTACGATTTTTTATGATCGATAACGTGTCTATTGAATTGTGATAGATAGCGGATTTTTTAAAAGGTAGATTTATATATCGCGATAAATATATAAATTCACAGAAGCTCGAACGTTAGCACAGTGGAAATGCCAATATGATAAAGAGCAGTAATACAATTCCTTCCAACGCAAATCGAAAAATGTAGAATAACTCAAAAAAGCATTATGAATAAATAGGATTAAATTTCCGCCCAACGCACGATGTGTCGCGTGCAGTGTATGACAACGTATGAATATAAATTGAAATGTATTGTTTCGTCGAAACACGCAAATTGTATCAACTTGCAATTAGGTAAATATTCATTTTCCGCAATAAATTGCTCTTTTCACGAATTGTTTTTGCAATTTCATTGCTTAATCGCCTTTATAACGGGTATTATAACAAAAGGTGCAAAAAGCGTAATCATGTTTAAAATTAAATAATTTTAATAAATGAAATGTCAAAAGTTACAAACACAAGTGTGTAATAGGATTATTTAATTCCCAATTAATCACTTGTAGTCCTCGCCTTAACAAAAGTTTCGTTTGAAATCCAATTTGTGACGTTGAAGACGGAAGACAAATGCTTCGAATTAACTTTTGTCCGGGAAATACGTCGACGTGAAATTACTCGAAAAGAGTGAAACGTTACAAAGCTACAGTTCCCCCCCCCCCCCCCCTAACGTTACTTGTTGGAAAAACAACACCGTGTCGTGAATTACGCGAGTCACGTCGTAATTTGTTGCTCTCACCTGCCGTAAAATGTGCGCTGTCGCTATTCTAAGAAATAGAACTTTAATATACACGTTCAAGTTCGAAAACTACGCGGAGGCAACGTGCATCCAGCAGAAAACACCAGGCGCATTTCGCGTTACGCGATATACGCGCGTATGTAAAGCAACTCGGCGAGAAGGTGGAATATTAATGAGTGCGAGAGCGAAATCGTCGACAGCACCGGAAAACGTTACGTTTTTCACGGAAGTATGTACATGGAAATGAAGTTGAATCTGCAGATTTAATCGTTTCGACAAACGACTTTTTTTTTTTTACAAATACACGAAGAAATATTTGCGAAAAACTTCGCCATTATTGCTCACTGCGAGAATATAGATATAGCGGCTTACGTTATATGTGGCTTATAATATATTTAGATATTTTTATTTATTTTTATTTAGATATCTTTATGTATTTTTATTTAGATATCTTTATTTATTTTTATTAAGATATTTTCTTCTCGTTCTAACAATAAGTTAAAAATTATTTAAGAAAATATATATATCATCTTGATACGTTAGCTGGATAATATTATTTATTATATGATCCTACGCAAAGATTTATACCTATACGAGGAGATCTTATCGACAATTGATGCGGGCTTTATACTTTCCAGAGGAAAAATACCACGTTCTATTTCATTTCTCGCGATTGAAAGAGATGATATTTTTCTTATAACTAGCGAGTTCTCCACCATTGTAAAAGAATACATCAGCGATTCCGAAATATTATTTGTACTACTTTTATACGTGTTGAAAGAACAATATACATATATCATGATCTATTAGTATAATTAAAATGCTTGACATACCTATATCCATCTCGTAGATGTTACCAAGATGTCGCATGGCAGGAAGGTAGAGCATTCCGAAGGCGAGCTGCATCCCAGTAGTGAGCAACAGGGCGAGGAAACCGGCGGCGCAGACTAACCAGCCCCAACCGCCCTCCGGATAAAAATGCGTCCGCATACCGGCGACGTCTATGCCTGAGATAGAAAAGATTATCCTCTTTATAATTCGGAGATAAATCGCGTCCCGATGCCTCATCGATAATGGAATATTCGGAAACGGATTTGATACTTTGCATGTATCTCTCGATATAGGAGAGTAAAAACGAATGAAAAACTTGGAGCAAGATAGGTGAGTTTTATACAATCCGATGTAAAAATCTTGGATTAGTAGTTAAATTTATATCGTTTGCGTGTAATTTATTATTAATAACCAGCATCTATTGTGTTGTTGATATAATTATACTATATATTAGTTTTATTTAATAATTGTATTATTTAAATAATTTTTATTTATGTAACAATGCAGAAAGAATGTGCACAATAAAAGCCAATATTATAGATGATAATAATCTCTATTCGGAAATATATAGTTATAAAAAAGAAAGAAGAGATTACCTGTACGACGAAGTGCGGGTACGCAGCGATGCAGACTGCGTAAATCGCCCAGAACCCAGTTTGTATTACCCATGCTCTCGTCCCCGTCTACGTAGCGCAGACGAGTATCTGAAAGAAATCGTTAATTAATCGCGAAACAGAATTATTTAAGCAATTTTTTCGTGAGATTGATTAAGAGAAGGGCGACTTTCCGTAATAATTCTTGAAATACAATTTGCTCAAGGAAACCTCGGGTGGTCTTTATTAAATATTACCGCCATCGCGCGAGCAGGGAGTTGGATTGAAACGTTTAATACTCGAGACAATACTTTTCGCATCGAATTTTCCTCCGCACAATGCGAGCGCTTCTAGACACTCGTGGCGGCGACGACGGTCCCTGTGGTTGGCAACATCGTTTGCATGAGACAGGGCGCGAGATGGGTAAGAAACGAGTTGAAAGAAACTGCGCGAAGGTAGAAAGTGGAGGCGAGGGTTACGTAAATGCACTTTTGAAAGGGCGAAGGTGGTGGGTTGAAAGGTAACGTCGAGCGCAAAGGGCAGGTCACGAAAGGAAAGGAAGGGTTGATGATCGCGAGATAGAAAAGCGGCGTTTGCCTTGTTCCATCTCGTAAAATAAAGACTACGGATTCGGCGTCCGGTCGCTTTTTTCTTTTTCTTTTTTTACAATAGGGAAAAAAATCTAACTGAATTATGGGCGACCCGTGTATGGGATCGCCGTTGGTCGCGTCCCACCTAGTATAAATTTTTCCATTAGCCGCGTTAAATGCAACACCCATGGGTTTTATATTCTCATGCGTCTTGGCGAAAATTAAATTTCAATCTATATTGAATCATATTTAAATTTGCAAGTTTGGTAATCGATCTTATCGAATAATTTTAATCGCCGTTTAATTAATGTTTTGGTCCATTTTAATTGAAAATATGAAGAAGAATTAATATTTTCTCCAGAAAGAGAGAGAGAGAGAGAGAGAGAGAGAATTTAAAATTTAAAAAATCGCTTTTTTCTTTGAATTTGTTTCTCAGCTACTCTCTATATACTAACCTTTTTTCATTTTATATTCTGTAAAATATACTTTGATACACGCAAATTATTAATTTTATCGCTTTGTTTCATCCACGCAATTACAAAACTGAATTTGCGAATGTATCTCATATATATTTAGTAGTTTTTCATTAATTCCCTCGTGTGGTTTGTTATATGACGGTTTGATATCAGTTGTAAATTATCGTGCCATTGTATCAGCGAACGCGAGTTAAATTGCAATGCAATTCAATCCCAACTATGTCCGTAAGTGGATAAGTTTCTACGCAAGCTCTGTTGCTTATTAACGTTCAACGCGTAAAACCATTTAGGGGGGATTATTTGTACAGCGCCATATTATCATCGTCGTTATCGTTATCGTCGTCGCTGATAACGAGAGGTGTCACGCGTCCGCTTTTAGAAGGGAAAATTAGCAGTGAGAACAAGAGATATTCTTCATTACCCGGTACATAATGAAAATAAGGAACGAAAAGAGGGAGCACGCGTAATGCGAGGAACGCGCCTTTTAACGCGACGAGAAGTGAAAAAGAATGGACGAGCCGGCACGAGGTATTTTGCTGAAAATGATGTGAGACGCAGAAATTGTCGGGGATGGTCCCGGGTGCCGAGAAAGTAAAATTGCCGTGGGACGAGTTACGAGGATGCCCTCGTAATGCCGTAAAAGGTGCGGCACGTTCGCATTTCTTGCGAACGTGCCGCATCCTTAGTGGAATCACAGCCACACATTTTCGCAGTGCGCTATTCAAACGAAATGTCTAAAATCCTGCGGCGAAGAGCATCGAGAATGTGCATTGATTGCAATAAATGCATAAATGTTCAAGAGGCTCGGATATAAAAGAATTCTCGAATGTGCGCGGATACGTGAAGACGATAGTTTCGCCCTCGCGGATATTTTTCCAATTTTCTATTATGCTATAAAAAAAATTCCGTTTTTGTTATTTGCGAAATGTCGGTAAAACTGCATAAAAGGTAACACACCTCCGATTTTATTGCTATTTAAATATGTTGCAGGGGAGGTTCTTCTGAGTAATTCTCCGCAAGAAATTTGTAGGGGACGGCATTAGTTTAGGAGATGTAACAAATTAAAGTTTCATAGTTTTAATGCTTTTTCTATTATAAAATAAGGAAAAATAAAGTTTCTTTACGTTGTATTTGTAAAACCTATTTCTGTGTGTGTGTGATTTAAAACTAAAATTTACTATTAACGTATTCCTACCTTCAACAAGACTTAGAAACTCGTATAGTCGCATGTTGAACGCTGTTAACGAACTGCGAGAAATAGGTGAAACACATTATTGACAAAATATCCATGACCATGTACCTATTCCGTAAATGTAAACAAATACTTTTTCGTCTATCCTACAACAAATACAACGTACACAAACTTCACTTTTCCTAATATTACTTTACAATACCTGAAAAAAAAGCATTAAAATTGTAAAACTTAAATTTGTTATATCTCCTAAACCAATGCCGTCCCCCACTTATTTTTTGCGGGGAATTACTCAGAAAAATCTCCCCTATAACATATTTAAGTGGCGATTAAATCGGAAGTGTGTTACCATTTATACAGTTTTATCGAAATGTCTTGCATTAAAATGATAATGAATGATGTTTTCGTTATTTCTTATTGTACCATTTATATATATTACATCAAAATTAAAGTAAAGTCGTATGCGCATTAATATTTTCTATATTCTTATATTAATCGATAAACAAAAAAAAATATTAAACTTTTTTTGCCTCTCATAATAAGAATTGTTGATTCTTTCGAACAAAAGAAGTAAGGCAAAGTACGAGCGCACCACTCAGATTCACCTTACATCAAAATTAAAGTAAAGTCGTATGCGCATCAATATTTTCTATATTCTTATATTAATCGATAAACAAAAAAAAAATATTAAACTTTTTTTGCCTCTCATAATAAGAATTGTTGATTCTTTCGAACAAAAGAAGTAAGGCAAAGTACGAGCGCACCACTCAGATTCACCTCCGTCGGTCGAGATTGAAAACCAACGGTCGACCTACATTTTTGATAGACACTGTTTTCGACGATACATCAAGCTCGACATTTCCAGGTATCTCTTTGGCACCGTTAAGTGGAATTGATTTTTATTTTACCGTATCTCTCATCGTACAACCTTTTCATCTTGTCCCATTTCTTTTGGCTTTTGCTTTTGTGTAGACACAAAAGAAATGATAACTGAACAATAGTTTTCGCTAAAAATTCTAAAGTTATCGATACGTTCTATGAGAAAACGACGTCCAAAGTATACATGTGTACCTAGTATTTACAAAGTGCAGATATGAAACTATTCTATAAGAAAATTCTCTAAAAAGATTATGCAATATATAATCTCTACCGTCACCGTATCTTATATTTTTGCAAAAACTAGATACACGACTCGCGGAATTATTATAAACTCTTGGAGATATGTTGTATTAACTTAGATTAACTTAGATTTAGTATATTTACAATTAGAGAGTAAATTTAATTAAATATTTGAATATCAACGCGCACAAGTTTGATAAACGAAATAATCTTGTTATGCATTAAATTCAAATTTATAAATGTATAATAATAATATAATATCCAAAATATATTTTAATATTAAATTATGTAAGCGCGCAAAAAAGAAATGCACGGTAATATTGTATAACAAGAGCTCACAGTACTCAAAGATAATCAATATTTGGAAAACTTTAATTAACTGAAAAATAAACTCACCGCCGTGATACGAACTTCCACGATGCGGCGTATACATGCCATTTTGACCCTCCATACAATGAGTCGGCGTATAATACTGCATAGGATGTTGCATGTAATTATTGGGGGTGCTGGGAACATGTACCGGATGACAATGTATGCATCTTCGCGGTGTCTCGGGCGGAGGCTGCAAGCAAGACAAATTTTCAAAGCGCTTGAGAGAGAGAGAGAGACAGAAAACACGATGTCGAGAAATTCATGTAGACGTGCAATCATCCATGTTTATTATTATTATCACGAAATATTACTCTGTGCGCGTTGACATTGAAATGCAATATAACACAAGAGAAATTACTTATCACTACTAATTAAAAAATTAAAGAGTTAATGCAATCTATCAGTATCGCGTTGAACTAAAAATTTATATTATCCTCTCTGAAAAATGTTTGACATTTAAAAGTATCATATTATCTTTGATACTTTTCGATCAGATAAAAATAACAAGATTCATTTTTAATTAAAAATTTAATTAAATTACATCTATATACAAAGTAAAATCCTCCAAAAATTATAAGATTCGCGTTTAAATAAATATTAGTATTAATTGAAAATGTTACAAATTCCCTATCTATAATTCTAATTTTATTTCCAAAAAATAAAATTAAAAAAACCTTTGACTGATTTTAACTAATAAATAATAATTGTGAGAAGCTCATTAGATTAATTAGAGATTAGAAAATAGATTAATTAGAGAATATATTAATTAATGATGAGATCTATCGTGTTGCAATCGCGATAATAACGGACGGTGCCGGGTCCTTTATTCGCTCACCTGCATAGAATGTTGCGAGCGCAAAGATCTCATCGAACCGGTCGGGTGCAAGGACGGCACGCTGCCGCCGAAGCTCATGGCTGAATTTCTGCATCCTGCCGGGGTGGACCATCCCCCGCGCACGCTAGCCGTAGTCCACCCCATTCCGTTTCCGCAGTCGTCCACCAGCATCTTCAGGGCGAATGGTCGCGCCGCGTTTTACGCTTCCGACATCGCCGTTGTCAAAAATCGCTTCTATTCTCTCGCTCGATCTACCTTTATTCACGTCACGTTACCCCCGTTTCATCGAGGATCGGCGAAAGGTAAATTACATCCTTCTTGCTTACTGTCAAATTCGGCTCGAGTTCCTCTGGGCTAGACAACGGTTAGACGAGTCTCGGCGGATTGTGGAGACGGTCATTTGACAGCATGCTCGAAATTAGGAAAATATTTTCCATTTCGGTCTGTAAGCAAAGAGGAGAAAACGTTTGTGCTGATTTGTAATTTTTATTATTTAATAATTATATTATATACATGTGTCCACGCATAAATTCCTCGGATTTGTTCTTTATTCCAATCAGATGCGCATATAATTTCTCATTTGAACAACGTATTTCGATAGGAAGATATATCGATATAGTATGCAATATATATCAGAAATATCACAATTTTTAATTTAATCAGTAAAATCTTCATTAATGCTTAGGATCGACACGCAAATTTTCTGATGCATTTGGTTATGCTATGTTAAAACTCGTTTATTATCACTGCCTTCAATTAATTAGTTGTATAATCATTTCTCGAATGGTCTTTTGCAATAATTTGAATAAATGAATTTCAATGTACAACTATATTAAAACAAGCAGCAATATCTTTGTATTATTATACAGCTAATAGAGATTATAAATTTATGGATTACATTATATTATTAAAAAATAATTGATTATTAGTGAAAAGGTAAAAATATGTATTCCATATTTAATATTTTGTTAGATATTAAATATATAAACAGAGATAGATATATATTTATAATATATTTTAAACGTGTAATTCACTTGGTTTGCCGATTGTTTATAATAGGAAAGAAAAATTATAAAAGAGAGAATATTTTTTTTAATTTTCCGAGTTCCAATAAAATTCCATGAGAATTCCCCGATTTTTCCAGGGGTACAAAGGAAATCCGTGAGAAATCCTATATTTCCAGAGAGTAGACACTGTGATTAAATATACAATCAAATACATGCATCAAATATATATCAAATATATGCATTGCAGATGAAATTCATTGGGTTTATAGGCGAAGATTTATAGAATAAATGTTTTATGTATATACTCATCCAAGAAGCGAGTTGATGAGGATTAAATTCATATCGGATGCATATCGCGCGGACACGTACGAGCAAGTTATGTTGCTTGGAGTTATTGGCATATACGCCAAAAACACATTCCATTTCGCCGATCGAATTCAATTAATTTTTGACCGTTTCGCAATTTTAACCAACAATGAATCTTGCACTTTCAGCAAAAATCCTTTTGCGATTTATGAAAATCACGCGACCTACATTTAATATCTCATATATTATTTTCGAGAAATCACGCAACATAAATATCACCCATCAAATATTTATCAATTAAAATTAATAAATAAAAAAATTATTATAACTTATTATGAAAATTCGAGTTAAGACTCAAAGATAACTACAATAGTTAGATCGATAAAATTTCCTGACATTTATATGTATGCTATACGATTTTGATATTCCTCCTAAAAGTATATAATTTACAAAAAAGAATTTTTAATCAATTAAAAGAATTAAAAGCATTCATGTGTGTTCTTTCAATCGCACGTAACATCATAATAAATGTAGGTGCATTTCCATCAATCTAACTATATTAATATTTATGCATTACCGCATTACCACAAGCCTGTATCGCTTCTGGTTCTGAAATATTCATAGGATATATAGCCTATGATGATAACGATGTTATACAATGATCTGGTTAATTATAAATTCTCTATAATCTCCCTCGTACATATGATCGTTATTATATTTAACAAATTTTTAAAAATATTATATCTACCTGTGCCTTGTGAATAAAAATTTTCAATATAAAATTTATTTACCCTTTGTTTCTCTCTGTCTTATTTATATATATACATACTAATGTAAAAATAATGCTTCAAGAAAATACAAAAATCTTAAATACAAAAAAAAAAAAAACCGTCCTACAATAATGATTTTTACATTCTTTTATAAAGATTGTGCAGTTGTAATATATTTTTTACTAACAATAATTTTTACTAACCACATTTGGATATATCGAAAAAATATGATAAATAATAAATCGCGTTATTTCAATGTTTAGAATTAGAATACGTATCATCGGATCTTCTGCAATTTTTATCTCGCAAGATTTATGTCCACCATCGTGCACACCGTTGATCCTTCGCCCTGCTCTGTTGCGAGCTCAATATCATAACCGTATATATATAAGTGTATATATATATATATAGTGAAGTCTCTCACAAAATAAGAATACCACAAATGTTAAAAACAAGCGGCAGATTTGTATTCGCCGCTCCGGCGTATATTTCAACTCTCACGTCGACGACGAGCATCACGCCGGGAAAGAGGAGAATTTTTGCAACGGCCCTAAGAATACCGCGGCCATAAATCCTTTCACAAAGCGTTTTTTAATCGGCACAGTTAAACGGATGAAGCTCCAGAAATATACGACGTTGCGCCGACAACGCGTATGTTTCTCTCCTCCACTCTGCCCCCCCACCCCTCCCAAAAAAAAAGAAGAAGAAATCGCTTCGTTATTTCAAATATCCTTGACAAACCTTTAATCAAAAAAACTATAATATTTATTGATGTAACTTCAAAGCATTTTTCGATCCATCATCCAGCGTAACTTTAAAAGGCCAAAAAGTAATGCAAAGAAATAATTTTCATAAGTATTTAATCTTTCCCGAAAGGAATATTAATGTAATATCTCTCGTCTTCCGGAGTTTTAAACGCAAATCAAATTCAATCGACTCGGTATTCATTTAAATAAATAACTTGAAATAGCTAGAATTCTATTATCGACCGGATATATACATCGTACTTTAAACTTTAGTATATTTTTAGTGAGAGATCAATATAGTGTTTTATTTGCTCCTTTATTATTTTTATCACAAATATACCGCATATCGCTACATGTTTAATTATCCCTCGCGATTAAATTAAATTCACAATGCAACATATGAGAAAGAATGGTATACGTGATTTAAAGTTAAATTATATCTGGCAGATTAATATCACGCGTATATTTTTATGCTAACAAAAAAAAAAATAATCAAATTTAAAAAGATAAATAAATGGGTAGATATGCGTTGCGCATATGTAACGAACTGAATATACAACAAATGAAAAGCCCATTTCATTATGCCCGACTCAGTATAATTGCCGAGATACACTCGCAAATAATATAACCGAGTTCTATTACAACTTCTTCGGAGAGTAGGGAAGAGTGTATCCTCGGTAAATATGTTTTGGATTTCCATATGCTGGCGAACTAATATCGAATAACATTGTAATTAACGAGCAAAAGCGTATCGTAAAACAGATCTGTATCCACACAAATAAAGCGACGCTATATAATTATCATTTATGCATACAGACACGAAATTAACTGGATACGCACAATCGCTTTATTGTATATGGTCTATGCTTACATTGCTTTACTGCTTTTGCCAGGTTCTTCCATGCGTGTAATGGACACAGTCGTGTATATTGATTGTACAAACATAACCATGCAATCTCTTTTTCAAACATTGTTAAAAGATAGATATGGTTTCAAAGAGAAGCATCAACATAAAGATACTACTTAAAAATTTTAAATTATTAACGGTATATACTAATTAATCCACCAAATTTTTTTAATTTTTTGGTTAAAAAACAAGTAATTTTAAACAATATAATATTATAATAATTTAACACACGAATATTATTATAATAATTTAATATTATTGATATTACTGGTGGAAATTATTATCTTATATCTGTACAAATTGGCAAAAAGACAACATAAAAAATATATAGTATAATAAAAATAAAATATTAAAAATTCCAAAGAAATGTATTAGACAGTTGAAATATCCCCAAAATAGAATATTTAATATCGCTCTATTTCTCGAGCGAGATTATCGGCGCGCGAAGGATTAAGACACTCTGCGGCCGGGCGCGACGAAAAGATGCGTGTTGACACACAGGAAATTCCGGTGTGGCTCAGAAAACCAGGCCGATGGAAGGGTATGTCGTGGCAGGGTACGCAGGGGAGGGGGGCGACAGCAGACGATAGAGGCCGAGCCGTGGGTAATCCCACTAGATTGAATCCATCCCCGAGCACCCCCGCGCGACCACGGTGGATGATCGTGTAACCATCGTCGTCACGAGCCGTCATCTCTCGACGCCTCCCTCATCATCCCCCTCTAATTTTCTATGAAAACATCCCTCTCGCCCGAGGGGTGTATGGGTGTGCGAGCAAAAGATACCGTCAACTCTCGAGCCTCTGTCGAGCAACTTAGAGCGCGAAATACCAGCCAGGCATTCTCGGATGACAGTTGAAACGGTGCCAAGAGCAATAGTTGTTTCGGAAACAAATGCGTTGCACGAATCATTCAGGGATGCGCGATGACGCCTGTCTTAATCATAGCAAGAGATTCCTTCCATTCGCGTGTATATAGCTCATTCTCATAAACATTAAGTTAAAATTAATCAAGAATTATGCGATTCTCTCAGACCTTCTCTAAAGACGAAATTAGTAGGAGGTAGAATCTGTGAAACCAGTTAACTTTAATTAATGTCTCATATAAATTATTTTATGTAAGATAATGATTAAAGTAATATTTTATTACTCGTTATTCATATTATAACGTATTAACCGATATCGTATAATTAAGATATTTTTAATTTGTTAAATATAATCTCTCTCATAATTATACATATATATATTTTATTTAATAAATATTATATTTTTAAGCAGTATTATGTTATATAAATTGATTTAATAGAACATTATTAATTACTTCTATTATATTGATTTGATATGAAGCCATTAATTATTTCTATTAAATTAAACTAATTATCATTTTAGATTTGTACAAATTAATTATTACCACAGTGACAACATTGATTAAAAACTAAGGTAATATATAAAGTAATAAAATATTTTTGCAAGAGGTTTTTCGTAATACGTGTTGATTAGAACAATAACCTATAATCTGTGACAATAGATAAACAAATTTATTTTTTATTTATATTACTAGACGAATAATTCCAAGTCATCGCGAAAAAAAAAAATATTCATGCGTTTGGGAATAAATCGCGAGTGACGACGAACTGCAGCAACCGATATCGACTTGCAAATTTCATGCGAAGCCTCCTCCTCTCATTCCGAGTTACAGTTACTCGTGAAA